AGTGGTAGGAGGGAGTTACACTCTCTGTGTGATGTTAGGAGATACTGGGTTGTGGTAGCAGGGAGATACACTCTCTGTGTGATGTTAGGAGATACTGGGTTGTGGTAGCAGGGAGTTACACTCTCTGTGTGATGTTAGGAGATACTGGGTAGTGGTAGCAGGGAGATACACTCTCTGTGGGATATTAGGAGATACTGGGTAGTGGTAGGAGGGAGATAAACTCTGTTTGATAAATGGCTCTTTATATGGGGCTGACGGTGAGGGAGCACACAGGTATAGGATCTATGCCCATGGGGCCGATTCCAACCTGAGTTAAGTGTGGGTAAATGGAACGTATTCCTCTTTTTATGCACTTTTCTCTCTATGCATATTCTGACCTTGAACTTAAGCATGAGAACAGCATGCTATTCACCCCTCTATTCATTTGGGGTGGAGATCAAAGGAATGAAGGCGTGTCTAGAGATACGCAGTATTCTGACATTAATATAATAATATGCCATTTAGCAGACGCTTTTATCCTAAGCGACTTACAGTCATGTGCGCATACATTTTTACGTATGGGGTGGTCCCGGGGATCGAACCCACTACCCTGGCGTTCCAAGCGCCGTGCTCTACCAGCTGAGCTACAGAGGACCACACAGACTTGAGTCCCTCATAATTCCACCACCTTCACGCACCAGGAACCCATGAATAAGTTTAAGCGAACTTGCCAGTTCCAAGTGGGAAAAAGCATTTACTTAATTTTTTTTCCGGATAGAAATAAGACCATTCTCCATGAACTGTAATTTATAAATGAATAAGAGCTATTGATAAGAGCTAGGTAAATTACTAATCCGTTTGGAGAAGGGGATTGTAAATACACATAGCAAATTGTTTTAGATGATTTTTTTCCTTACGATCCGTGGAGACGAATGTGAAACCAGCCATATGGAAGCAAACTGAAAATCATATCAACATGACATGTATTGCGGCCCCTTTTCCACAGTGAAGTAGGTTATAAACAGCTGTGCCGTTATTCAGAATTTTAACTGTGTGTCCTCATAATTTGCGTGGATGAAACTGAGACCCAAGCTATAGGCTTCTGTAGGGCTGAACCTGCCGAGTTGATGTAGCGCTTTAGAACGTTTTAATTATATGCCCCAGCTTTTCTCCATTTTAAAAAAAAACAATTTGTATCATGTTAAATATTAGCCACTATCAGGAGCCACCGTCAGTAACACCCACATACATTTATAACTGTCACTTTAGTGCTAGTTGTCTTCAGTTTGTAGCTTACATTTAGCATCATTCCATTCCAGTCCGTTTTCCCTTTCTTTCCCCTGTCACGTCTGTGTTGTTGTTCCCGAGGGTCGCTAGCATTAGCGGATGATATCTGGCTACCGCTGTGCAATAATTTGGAACACGTATCTTATTTGAATCATTATGGAACTCAGACCAAACGTAGCAGGTTAAACCTGGAGCCCGGTGCACGGTTGACCACGACTGGACCGTTGTCATACAGTTCCATGATTAGTGAGAATTAGGGTAGATTTATAGGACTACTGTTCAACCCCCCCCCCTATTGTACACGTTTTTCCCACCTTCCAATATTTCATGTATTGAACTTGAATATGACAACTTTCAGGATGAATCAAACCAATGTATTTTTTATTCATCAATATATTTCGTACATAAAAAGGCTCAACAACCAGTTGTTTTATGATTCATACATACTTTCCTAACCCTAAAATGTGCCTAAATAATCTAACAGATCAGAGTATTTTTAAATCTACCAGTTGATGATGAAACGGAGATGAAGATGTATCTCTTTCATTGATCCCTGTTGTCTGAACCCGTTCTCTCTATGTATTCTAGTCTGTCCACACAATTCTAATTAAAGGTACACCGTATTTAAAGGGATGGCTTAAGATAAATGTACCTGAAAACCATACTGAATGAAAACTCCACGAGAAAAATCTGTTGGAAAGCAAGTGGGAGGGTTTTCAGCGGTTGAATTAAATGTATTCAGCGTGCACAAGGGAACCACGCCTGCAAAGCCTCATGCACTTGCTAGGGTGATCACATTTAAAATACACCTGCTAGGGTGATCACATTTAAAATACACCTGCTAGGGTGATCACATTTAAAATACACCTGCTAGGGTGATCACATTTAAAATACACCTGCTAGGGTGATCACATTTAAAATACACCTGCTAGGGTGATCACATTTAAAATACACCTGCTAGGGTGATCACATTTAAAATACACCTGCTAGGGTGATCACATTTAAAATACACCTGCTAGGGTGATCACATTTAAAATACACCTGCTAGGGTGATCACATTTAAAATACACCTGCTAGGGTGATCACATTTAAAATACACCTGCTAGGGTGATCACATTTAAAATACACCTGCTAGGGTGATCACATTTAAAATACACCTGCTAGGGTGATCACATTTAAAATACACCTGCTAGGGTGATCACATTTAAAATACACCTGCTAGGGTGATCACATTTAAAATACACCTGCTAGGGTGATCACATTTAAAATACACCTGCTAGGGTGATCACATTTAAAATACACCTGCTAGGGTGATCACATTTAAAATACACCTGCTAGGGTGATCACATTTAAAATACTAAAATGCGGGACAACGGGATGAGTTTGCAGGACTTTTGTGGGACAGTGTCTTTTAAATCGACACAATACCTGTTTAGCAAAGGTGTCAGCTAGAGATGATGTGGAGGAGCTTGCAGGGATTTGTAGTTTTGCATGATGTCTACTTTGATGCTAATTAACGTTTTAGAATCTGAGAGTAAATGGAGTTGGTCTCCATACCAACTACTAGGAAAGGCATGTGTAGGAACTTTTTGTATTTATAAGTAAGAATAGAATAGATGCAGACTGGCGTACGTTTGTGTAGGTCTAATATTTCTAAATCACTTTCACAGACTTCATTTTGGGAAAACAAATATGCCTTAATAATATTGGATTACTTAGAGAAAGCATTATGGTAATATATTCTACAAGGTGACAGAGGAAGGCAAGTACTGAATGACAGATAATAATGCACGAAGCATGAAAATATACATCTAAATATATAATCTTAAATCTTCATGTACCACTGTTTTCAAGGCCACTCTAAGCTCTGTGGTCCATTGCAGATTGTAGATCATGTATGACAATCACTACCTTCATGAATCTAGTTGATGATCCCTATAATATACTGTATGGCTTACGTCAGCAGTAATGTAATGTAATGGAGCCAGCTGCATAGCAAACACAAACTCTCTCTCTCTCTCTCTCTCTCTCTTCTCTCTCTCTCTCTCTCTCTCTCTCTCTCTCTCTCTCTCTCTCTCTCTCTCTCTCTCTCTCTCTCTCTCTCTCTCTCTCTCTCTCTCTCTCTCTCTCTCTCTCTCATAATGACAGACACAGTCAGGCAGCGTTTCATTACTGTACAAAATAATTTATTTGTCAGCGTTAAAATCCCATTGCTGCTCTGATCAAAACACAAAACGATATTGTCCCTCATTTAGAAAAAAAAAAAGCTTTTTTTTTAATACATCAAAACACAACAAGAAAGGAAAAGATGGTGAAGGGCTGAAACTGTTTTCTTCTTCAGGTCTACAGTATCAAGGATTAGTCAGAGAGGATATAAATAGCAACTGACTTATAAGAGCAATGGACTCCCCAGAAAACTCAATGGGGATTTGCTCTCCCAGCCAAGTGTCAACAGTAAAACCTCATTATTGTGTTCTATTCTTCATGAAATGAGTCCACAGAGTAGACCCGGCTAGCTGTTAGCATCGGCACGTTAAGTTTATTGGGCTTTGCAGGGTAGCAACAAAACTAGTCATATCTGTCAGGAATATTGTAGCATGTTTCCTCTGCGTTTGCTCAGACATGGTTTCTGACTGACACTTTGAAGTAATTAGCGGCACATGAAAAACCAAAAGCGTGGCGTTTGACCAAAACAACGTACATTTCTACATTTCATCATTACTACACCACGGCTCACACAGGCTGTATCCACTGGCTCTCAGTCCATCAGCAATACGGACCATTTGCACACATAATATCAACCGCAACTCACAACAGTTTTATTTTTTATTTTCACTCAAACACCAAGATGGTATAATCCAAGGAGACTCCAGTGCAAACAGGAAATATAAATTATGTTATTAATGATGATCGATCAATAATCAATATTGTGACTCCTTCGGTTATGGGGAGTCACCTTGTTCCTGCTCCCAACCTGCCTCCTGGCTTCTGCACAGAGTCCCCCTGGCTTAATGTTATTTAGGGAACCCTATTGGATGAGGAAGGAGGGTAAGTTATTATAGAACACATCACGCACAACAATGAACATCACATCAGCCGCAGGTACCCGTCCAAATGTTCCAGACGTCCACCTCAGTATGGCTCAAAGAGAAGGTTAAGGTCCAAACCGTTTAGGTACACATATTCTTTCATTACGTTACAGTTCCTGTTTGTCTTTGTCCTAATCAAAACAATGATTGTCATCATTGAAAAAATAATAATACTTGTGCTTGTCACAGTTGTATCATATTGCCGCCATGTCCTCTTCCTGTGTCTTTTGTAGCGCGTTTGTCTTTCTCCTCAAAGGCTACTAAGAGTTGACCTGAGGTTCAAAGGTCATTGAAAAGGTCACAGGGGTCAGCTTAGTGGAAAACCAATCAGAGGAGGGATGAAAACCATGCATTCAAAAATAGAACTGTCACTGGAGATGAATGCCACCATGCAATATTTATACCAAGTCAAATCCACCTTCGACAGTCGGTCAGACTAAGGTCATCTGAGCCAATCACATCGTCCGTCTTCACTGTTCCCTCTCTGATGGAAAAGTTTTGGGGAAATATCTTATTTTGCTATTCAAATTAACATATTAATGTTTTCTCTTTGTTGAAACGTTTTTTTTTCTCTTGATTTTTTTTCTCTGCCCGTTGTTGTTGGGTCTGTAATAGTTTCAGAGAGGTACCATGCTTGGCTGTGGGTTAACCGTTGGGAGACTTCCTTAGCCACTGGAAGATCTGGCGTTCGTAGAGACTGTGCCATCTCACGTTGGCCTCCACGATCTCCACGGCCCGGGACAACGCTGGCCCCGCCCCACCTCCACTGATCTGGATGAACTCCTTCAGCTGAAGAAGGTAACAGACAGACACAAGCACAGAGTCAGGTACATGAGGGTATCCAGGCAACAGAGTCAGGTACATGAGGGTATCCAGGCAACAAAGCTGTAGGGGGGAATTCAGACCTGAGTCACGTAAATTAAACTTTATTTCCTTTTTATGTGCTTTTCTCTCTGCGTGTATTCTGACCTTGAACTTATGCATCACAAAAAGGTACGCGTTTGGGGTGGAGATTAAAGTAATTGAGATGTCTTCAGATACACCTGTACTCTTTTTTACATTTGTAAAATTTTACCCCCAATTTTTCTCCCCAATTTCAATCTTGTCTCATCGCTACAACTCCAGAACAGTCTCGGGAGGCGAAGGTCGAGTCATGCGTCCTCCGAAACATGACCCGCCAAACTGCGCATCTTAACACCCGCCCGCTTTACCCGGAAGCCAGCTGCACCAATGTGTCGGAGGAAACACCGTTCCCCTGACGACCGTGGTCAGCCTGCATGCGCCCGGCCCGGCACAAGGAGCGCGATGAGCCAAGTAAAGCCCCCGCGGCCAAACCCTCACAACGCTGGGCCAATTGTTGCGCCGCCCTATGGGACTCCCGATCACGGCCGGTTGTGACACAGCCCGTGATCGAACCCGGGTCTGTAGTGACGCCTCTAGCACTGCGATGCAGTGCCTTAGACCGCTGCGCAACTCGGGAGGCCATGATACGCCGTATTCTGACCTTGACATTAATGATATATTTTCACCCATCAGACTATTCTCAATTTAATATTGTCTTTACTAATATGTAAAATTTGTTTCGATTTAGAATGGCCCATTATCAGATGGGCAGGAACAGGGGGAAGATAAATAATACGTGTCATCCGTGTGAAATAGCGCATGGAGGACACTTTCCTGCTGGTTCCTTTTTCACTCATGTCTGGTAGGCTACTCTGGTTATTTCACCAAAACCCTGTGTGCCACGGGCTCTCCAACCCTGTTCCTCCAGCTACCCAGTACCCTGTGTGCCACGGGCTCTCCAACCCTGTTCCTCCAGCTACCCAACCCTGTGTGCCACGGGCTCTCCAACCCTGTTCCTGCAGCTACCCAGTGATTAATTTGAGAAACCAAGTGAAATCTGTTTGGGAACATCGATAACATGTCTTCACAACAAAACATATTATTTCATTAAACTGTTGACAGCCCTTCTCTCTGCGCGCTGGAGAAAAGAACCAAGGCGAGAGGGGAGGAGGTGGAAACGCATGTTAGGTGAGATATTCTGTAGGTAAAAGTAATGTGTCAGCCTATTAATTAAGAAAATATAAAGAATGCCCTATTACTAGGCTATTCAAAATCAAATACAAAATTCACTATAATTGTAGGATTACTCTGAATTTGTTTCATTTAGGCTAGACCTATTATGTACCAAAGACATCTTAAATCAGTATTTATTAAATTGTTTTTCTGCCTTGTGTAATATGCAGTAGACTAGGTATTGTATAACGGCACATTTTTTAATTCAGGTTCTTTTTTTCGGGCTCGGGCTCATATATAGGTCTATGAGTCTGCATAAACTCTAATATGCATATGGGTGTTTTGAATTACTCCCAGACACAAAAACATACAGGGGCAGTGAAGTTTCTTTAAAGTTCAGAACTTCAGAAAAACTCAGTGAAGCTTTTTTTAGCCAATTAGCGGCCCCCAGGGAACAAATAACAAGAAACTCGTACAGCATAAACATCCCTTTAAGGTTTTGGTCTCTTCTCTATGGTTCTGTCAGTGGGATTACTGGACTGGTTCTGATGCCCACTGATCAGTGAGAAAAACACAATTACTTTAAAAATACTATTACTTTGGGGTTGAGAAATAAATGCTATGCTTCTTAGAAATCGTTGGAATTGAATGTAGACCAGACTGTCTCCATCAAATCAATGTTAAGACAATTTAACAAAGCAGGACTGATTAGTAAGAGTATTGCATATACCTGTAATTATCATACAGTAAACTATGCTTTTTAAATGACAAAATCCATACGTTTGAATATATTCAGCTTTCTTTCACATTTGTTATACTGTAATTTACAATGTAATTTAAATGTAACATTTAATACAGAAGACTGGGATACCTGAGTGAACCTTAAATAAACGTACCTCGTTCAGCTCTGTCTCTGTGTTTAGGAATTCAGTCACCCCACTGATTAGCTTTGAATTCATGAATAGGGCCTCCCCGTAGCTAAACAAGGAGAGCAGTGAGAAGAAAAGGTTTTTTACAAACGCTGTTGTTCTATTCAGGCTTCCCTGAACACCTTTCAAAGAGCTCTGGGGCAGATCAACAAACAAAAGTTTAATTCCATTCACTTCTACAGTATCTAGAATCTAGTTTGAATCAAGTATGCATCGTCTGAAACCACAACTGAAATCACAACACAATCATTTTAATTATAAACGACACAATTCACAAGTACGGTACTGTCCTTGGAAAACACAGGAACGTTAGTACACAAGTCACACATATTACAGTCTCTGATATGAGTTTTTTTTATAGTGTTATGATGTCATATCATAGTATCGTGGGGACCGGGTTGGAGTCACTAGATAATTGGCAATGGGGGCCACGGAGTCTACATTCCGTTATGTTCAAAGGAGATTACTGAGGTTGATCTTAGAATAATTGATGGACAGGATATACTGACTTGGGGTAAAGAGTCATAACTTCAAAGAATAGGAGTGCCCATGAGGATTACCAGATGTTCGTGGAGAGACTTGTAACAGAGTGTATATGTAGAGAGAGTGGATCTTTGTTCTGGAGTTAGGAAGTTGGGAGAGGCAGGGCCATGTCCCTATTCTGTTATAACTAACCATGGTACCATATTAAAATATCTTATATGAACTCCCCATCAAAAGTGTCTAAGTACATCCTTACATTCGTAATCACTTTGATAACCTAGAAACTCATCATAACAGTCTCTGAGGAATTGAATCACTTACCGTGAATTCAAGATGTCCCACTTCTCCCTGAAGTACCTCCAGGCTAAGTGTCTTCCATGCGGGTTCCGTCCCACGTGAATAATGACATCGATGACATCTTGATCTGGGACCAAATCTGAGCTCAGAGATAGATTCAGCAGCCTGGAGGAGGAGGAGGAGGAAGAAGAAGAAGAAGAAGAAGAAGAAGAAGAAGAAGAAGAAGAAGAAGAAGAAGAACTGTGTCTAAAAGAGTGTACAGGATCGTCCTCATACAGCGAACTATTTATTTAGGGAATCATCCTTACAAAGGTACAACCGGTGTGAGTGCAAAAAGCACAATAAGACATGCTCAACTCTTAATAAATTCAGAAGTTTGAAGTAGTCTTTGGGTGCTGTAGTCCAGCAGTAATCTGACTGATAAAGTATTTGGGTGCTGTAGTCCAGCAGTAATCTGACTGATAAAGTCTTTGGGTGCTGTAGTCCAGCAGTAATCTGACTGATAAAGTTTTTGGGTGCTGTAGTCCAGCAGTAAATCTGACTGATAAAGTCTTTGGGTGCTGTAGTCCAGCAGTAATCTGACTGATAAAGTCTTTGGGTGCTGTAGTCCAGCAGTAATCTGACTGATAAAGTCTTTGGGTGCTGTAGTCCAGCAGTAATCTGACTGATAAAGGCTTTGGGTGCTGTAGTCCAGCAGTAATCTGACTGATAAAGTCTTGGGTGCTGTAGTCCAGGAGTAATCTGACTGATAAAGTCTTTGGGTGCTGTAGTCCAGCAGTAATCTGACTGATAAAGTCTTTGGGTGCTGTAGTCCAGCAGTAATCTGACTGATAAAGTCTTTGGGTGCTGTAGTCCAGGAGTAATCTGACTGATAAAGTCTTTGGGTGCTGTAGTCCAGCAGTAATCTGACTGATAAAGGCTTTGGGTGCTGTAGTCCAGCAGTAATCTGACTGATAAAGTCTTTGGGTGCTGTAGTCCAGGAGTAATCTGACTGATAAAGTCTTTGGGTGCTGTAGTCCAGCAGTAATCTGACTGATAAAGTCTTTGGGTGCTGTAGTCCAGCAGTAATCTGACTGATAAAGTCTTTGGGTGCTGTAGTCCAGCAGTAATCTGACTGATAAAGTCTTTGGGTGCTGTAGTCCAGCAGTAATCTGACTGATAAGTCTTTGGGTGCTGTAGTCCAGCAGTAATCTGACTGATAAAGTCTTTGGGTGCTGTAGTCCAGCAGTAATCTGACTGATAAAGTCTTTGGGTGCTGTAGTCCAGCAGTAATCTGACTGATAAAGTCTTTGGGTGCTGTAGTCCAGCAGTAATCTGACTGATAAAGGCTTTGGGTGCTGTAGTCCAGCAGTAATCTGACTGATAAAGTCTTTGGGTGCTGTAGTCCAGGAGTAATCTGACTGATAAAGTCTTTGGGTGCTGTAGTCACAGCAGAATCTGACTGATAACGTCTTTGGGTGCTGGTAGTCCAGCAGTAATCTGACTGATAAAGTCCTTTGGGTGCTGTAGTCGCCGCAGTAATCTGACTGATAAAGTTTGGGTGCCCAGCAGTAATCTGACTGATAAAGTCTTTGGGTGGCTGTAGTCCAGGAGTAATCTGACTGATAAAGTCCTTTGGTGCTGTAGTCCAGCAGTAATCGGGACTGATAAGGTCTTTGGGTGCGGTAGTCAGCAGTTAATCTGAACTGATAACGTCCTTTGGGTGCGGTAGTTCCAGCAGTATAATCTGACTGAGAAAGTCTTTGGGTGCCTGTAGTCCAGCAGTAATCTGACTGATAAAGTCTTTGGGTGCTGTAGTCCAGCAGTAAATCCTGACTGATTAATTGGACCGTTCTTGGGGTGCTGTAGTCCAGCATTAATCTGACTGATAAGTCTTTGTGTTGCTGTAGTCCGCAGTACTTCTGACTGATAAAAGTCTTTGGGTGCTGTAGTCCAGCAGTAACTCTGACTGATAACGGTCTTTGTGGTGCGGGTAGTCCAGCAGTAAATCTGACTGGGGGATAAAGTCTTTGGGTTGCTTGTAGTCCCAGGAGTAAATCTGACTGATAAAGTCTGTGGGTGCTGTAGTCCAGCAGTAATCTGACTGATCAAAGTCTTGGGTGCTGTAGTCCAGCAGTAATCTGACTTGATAAAGTCTTTGGGTTCTGTAGTCCAGCAGTAATCTGACTGATAAAGTCTTTGGTGCTGTTAGTCGCAGCAGATAATCTGACTGATAAAGTCTTTGGTGCTGTAGTCCAGCAGTAATCTGGCTGATAAAGTCTTTGGGTGCTGTAGTCCAGGAGTAATCTGACTGATAAAGTCTTTGGGTGCTGTAGTCCAGGAGAAATCTGACTGATAATGTCTTCTGGCAGTGAATGTATAACATAGATGATGTATTTCATTCCAGCAGTCACAATAGACACATTGGGGCAATAGAGCTTTCATCATCAGTATCAACATCCAGGGTGAAAACAAGAGTCCCGGCCCGGCTGAGGTGCCTCTGTGAAGTCAAGTGAACCACTTCTACTATTAAACTAGGAAATAAAGAAACACATTAAGGCTGACTCAGTCCGGGGGAGAACGTTGAAATGGAAACGCATTAAGGCTGACTCAGTCTGGAGGAGAACGTTGAAATCCAATGACCAAAATACAGTTTTAATACCATGTATCAGCAGCCTCAGAAAGTATGAATCTGATGAGACCATAACAAATGTAGATATAGCCGGTAATGCAAACGAGATTAAAATGTCAAGCAGGCAACAACAATGATATTACAGAAAAAGACACCGCCACGGTATATACGTTTCCAATTTGCAGTTGCATGCAGGGAGGCTAACTGCAGCACCGTGGTCTCCAGGAACCCACACGTCTTTTGTTCTGAACTATCTCCTGTCTCTCTTCACCATTACACTGTGTTCTTGAACTGATATGTTGATTAAGTTTATACCTCAACCAAAATGGGGCTGTGCAACGGATTTCTAAAAACACCAAGACATTTGTTAAGAGGAAGAGCGTTGCCTCAGTATTCAAGCACTCAACATACTGTATTTGAGCGCTCCAGTCTTCAGTTTTAATCAAGCTAATGCTCAGTGACCAGATAACTCCTAAGAATGAATACACACAGCAAATAGCAATGTATTCAGAAAAAGTCAGATTACTTTAGTCTCCTGAGTGGCGCAGTGGTCTAAGGCACTGCATCGCAGTGCTAGCTGTGCCACTAGAGATCCTGGTTTGAATCCAGGCTCTGTCGCAGCTGGCCGTGACCGGGAGACTCATGGACAGCGCACAATTGGCCTAGCGTTGTCCAGGGTAGGGGAGGGAATGGCCGGCAGGGATGTAGCTCAGTTGATAGAGCATGGCGTTTGCAACGCCAGGGTTGTGGGTTCGATTCCCATGGGGGACCAGTATGAAGAAAAAAAAAAATATATATATATGTATTCACTAACTGTAAGTCGCTCTGGATAAGAGCGTCTGCTAAATGACTAAAATGTAAAAATGTAAAATGTAATTCAGTGTAGAATACTCCTGAGTGGCGCAGTGGTCTATCGCAGTGCTAACTGTGCCACTAAAGATCCTGGTTCGAATCCAGGCTCTGTCGCAACCGGCCGCGGCCAGGAGACTCATGGGCGGCGCACAATTGGCCCAGGGTAGGGGAGGGAATGGCCGGCAGGGATGTAGCTCAGTTGATAGAGCATGGTGTTTGCAACGCCAGGGTTGTGGGTTTGATTCCCACGGGGGGCCAGTATAAAAAAAAAATGTATTCACTAACTGTAAGTCGCTCTAGATAAGAGCGTCTGCTAAATGACTAAAATGTAATGCAGAATACACCTCGTTTTGACATCTCTTGATATGTATTCAGTGTAGAATACACCTCGTTTTGACATCTCTTGATATGTATTCAATGTAGAATAGACCTTGTTTTGACATCTCTTGATATGTATTCAGTGTAGAATACACCTTGTTTTGACATCTCTTGATATGTATTCAATGTAGAATACACCTTGTTTTGACATCTCTTGATATGTATTCAGTGCAGAATACACCTCGTTTTGACATCTCTTGATATGTATTCAGTGTAGAATACACCTCGTTTTGACATCTCTTGATATGTATTCAGTGTAGAATACACCTTGTTTTGACATCTCTTGATATGTATTCAGTGTAGAATACACCTCGTTTTGACGTCCCTTGATATGTATTCAGTGTAGAATACACCTTGTTTTGACATCTCTTGATATGTATTCAGTGTAGAATACACCTCGTTTTGACGTCCCTTGATATGTATTCAGTGTAGAATACACCTCGTTTTGACGTCCCTTGATATGTATTCAGTGTAGAATACACCTTGTTTTGACGTCTCTTGATAAGGGATCTGTATTCTACTCTTAATTGTTGTGATTCACACTCACAGCGGATGCTCAGTCATCATCCTACATTTACATTTTAGTCATTTAGCAGACGCTCTTATCCAGAGCCACTTACAGTAGCGAGTGCATACAATTTAGTCAGTTATCAGTTCCCGCTTTCATCCGCTTTTACAGCCATTTGGGAGATGGGACTCCTGTATCCTCCTGGTCAGCCGTTTGGGAGATGGGACTCCTGTATCCTCCTGGTCAGCCGTTTGGGAGATGGGACTCCTGTATCCTCCTGGTCAGCCGTTTGGGAGATGGGACTCCTGTATCCTCCTGGTCATCCGTTTGGGAGATGGGACTCCTGGATCCTCCTGGTCAGCCGTTTGGGAGATGGGACTCCTGTATCCTCCTGGTCAGCCGTTTGGGAGATGGGACTCCTGTATCCTCCTGGTCAGCCGTTGAGGACAGTTATCGTTCTACTCTGTTTCCTGATCTCACAGCTATTATGAGTGAATGACACACAACACACAACACCCCCTGTGGAGATGGAACACATTTCCCTGTTCTAACGCCTACGTTTCTAAACACTGATTTTCAGCAACACCATCCCCAAACCCCCCAGCAGCTCACACACCACTACACCACAACCTATTTCCCTTCCGACCGACCAAACCGACCAACCGGTTGGACTTCAGAAAATAAAAATGGCCCCCCACACACAGGAAATTATTACGCCCTTGTGTCTTCTGGGAGTGTTAAAAAGGTCGCCACCGGAGCTGTGATGAGATGACCTCATTATTAGAGCAGGCTGAACGTGGCGTATCAGGGGAGGCAGGGTTTATCTGGCGCTGAGATCACAACACGCATTAATAAAAACATTGAGGTGAGGGATACAATTTAGTCCAAGGGTGCAGAGGAGACAGAAATCAATACTAAATGCAGGGCCCCATCTATTCCAGCCCCAGAGCCCCAGAGCTGAGCGGGGTGCTGGAAGGTGTATCTTGTCCATCCTGTCTAGTTTTCTTGTCTGTAGATGGAGTATCACGTATGTGCCTAAGATAACCCCCTACACACACGCCAACAGGCACAGACACACACACACATATATGGCGGACACACACGGGCACAAGCACACACACACACACACACACACACACACACACACACACACACACACACACACACACTTACACGGGCACAAGCACACACACACACACACACACACACACACACGGGCACAAGCACACACACACACACACACGGGCACAAGCACACACACACACACACACACACACACACACACACACACACACACACACACACACACACTGATCTAATCACGGACAGCGGCGGTTTTATTTTCAACCTGCAGTATTGCATGCGGTGTGAAATTCCAAGTGTGCCTTAAAGCCTTAACTCATTGATTCTGAGAGAGACTTACATTCCTGCTTCTACTAACTAGGGAATAGGGTGCCATTTGTGACGCAGCCTCTGTACATTGTAAAGTAAATGATTGACTCCGTTCAATTAAGCCCCAGAGCTCCAGCAGCTTCATCCTCTGGTAGGTAGCTTCTCTCTGGTCCTGTGGTGCGTGACAGAGACATTATTTCCCCAGGTCTCAGTGGGACAGGATCACAGCTGCTACACATGCTCTGCTTTTTATTCTGCCTGCCTGGCACACAATGACAGGGGGCCTTGGCAAGTGCCACACACACACACACACACACACACACACGCGCACGTACATGCACGCACGCACACACACAAACACACACACGTACATGCACGCACACACATAAACACACACACACACACACACACACACACACTGGCGACGGGGTGAGGGGAGTGCCTTGGCGTTTTATTGGCATGTGTGTGGCATCTTTTGCATTTTATTCTGCCTTGACATACATTAGGAGAGGGGTGAGGGGTGTGCCTTGGCAAAAGCTCCCCACTCCCCTAACTCCCCCAGCCATGCCAATGCCCTCCCCCAGGACAGTGACTCATTCTAATTAGCTGCAGAGCTCGTTGGTGTGTCTCCTGCCTCCTGTCTCCCTGGCCTGTCTGGCACGATGCATCTAGATTCTCTACTCTCTGTTCCACAGCCTGTGAACTAATGCCCCTCGTTGGCTCTCCTCTCCAAAAAACACACAGTTATTCTAATGAGGATTCTGGGTATTATCACTGTTCTATTGCTGTTTTCTCTCCAGGCATCTTCATTAGTCCCACATGACACAAGCTGCCAGGCAAGAGGGGGGCAGAAACAGATACTGAGAGAGACACGTTTAATAAAAATGTTTTTAAACCCACGGATAATAGCTGTTATTTGACAGCCGGGATCATTCCTATGATCAGATTTATGATTGTTGTCATGTGGCAGGCGATCATTTTGATTATTTCTGATAGATTAGTGATTGATCACTGAGACTTGCAGGGATCATAAACCCTGAATTATGCTCTCATCTTCCTGACAACCACTTTACATACTAACTACCCTGCTTCCTGAAAATCCATATGTCACGCTTACCGCAATCCCCTCTCTGGTGACCATCCAGCTGGCCCCCCAGGCCCCTATAGGGGACACTAGAGGGTTGGACTGTGTGTGAGAGGGCCTTGTTCAAACCTAGGTGCCAATATGATATGTTGTGATGTCCGTACTAGCATACCACTTTGAATGCCCAATCCATTGATTCTGAAGTGCTATGCTAGTGTGGACAGAGCACTGGGTGAGCAAAGCAAGACTTATGTATGTTTCAGATTGACTCGCTTCAAATCATAAATGTCCTTCTACATCTCACACTGTAACTAGCTTGGTGAGTCTTCGTGGTGAGGTCTTTAATCTGGAAAGTCAAGGCCTAAATTTCAGTATTCTAGTCCCCAGTGTTAACCTGTATTAAAGGTCATGGCCTACAGTACAGAATTCTAATCCCCAGTGTTAACCTGTAAGGGTCAAGGCCTACAGTCCAGTATTCTAGTCCCCAGTTTTAACCTGAATTAAAGGTCAAGGCCTACAGTACAGTATTCTAGTCCCCAGTGTTAACCTGTATTGAAGGTCTACAGTACAGTATTCTAATCCCCAGTGTTAACCTGTATTAAAGGTCAAGGCCTACAATACAGTATTCTAGTCCCCAGTGTTAACCTGTATTAAAGGTCAAGGCCTACAGTCCAGTATTCTAGTCCCCAGTGTTAACCTGTATTAAAGGTCTACAGTACAGTATTCTAATCCCCAGTGTTAACCTGTATTAAAGGTCAAGGCCTACAGTCCAGTATTCTAGTCCCCAGTGTTAACCTGTATTAAAGTTCAAGGGTTTTATTTTCCATAAAAAATAAAAAATAAAGTGTCATTTTTTCTTCCACTTTGACATTACCGAGGATTTTGTGTAGATCGTTGACCAAAAATGACAATTAAATACACTTGAATCCCACTGTGTAACACAACATCTGTAGCTGTATTGAGGGATATTCATAGACACCCCTTGACTTTTCCCACATGTTGTGTATTTGAGGTTTAAAAAGGCTTCTGAAGTTTGTAATTTCCAACTTGATTTTCCCTTTACGAAAAATGTATCAACCCCAGACAAAAATGCCCATTAATTATAATCAATATAATAATCCACATTTCCTGTTGCTGCAGGATTATTTTCCAGGTGTAGCAAACTGGCTCAAATTAAGATCCCACATTTGTATGAGATATTGTAGTGAGCACAAAGCTGTTGTGAATGTTCCCTGAGAGAAAACAATAAAGTTATTTTTCCCTGTGAGGGATCAATAAAGTTATGTTCTATTATAGTGAGTGGTTGACTCACCGGTTGAGCAGGAAGTTCCAATGACTCACCGGTTGAGCAGGAAGCCATTGTCGCTGCAGGTGAGAGCCTCCAGGAGAACCTTCTTCTCTGAGATTGCTGTGGTGGAGTGGAACTTCATCCAGATAAACTCCCACACGTCCTCATCCATCAGAGACACTCCTGTACAGTACACTATGTCACGCACGTTGGGAGGGATCCTGCAGGGAGGGATACACACACCACAAACACCAACACACACCACACGCACACACACACACACACCACACCACACGCACACACACCACACGCACACACACACACACCACACCACACGCACACACACACCACACACACACACACACACACCACACGCACACACACACCACACCACACACACACACACCACACCACACACACACACCACACGCACACACACACACCACACCACACACACACACACACACCACACACACACACACACCACACGCACACACACACACCACACGCACACACACACACCACACGCACGGGATGCAGACACGCATGCAAGCACGCACAAACACAAAGGCACACGCACCAACCAATTACGTTACCAATTTGTATTATCCTTTAAACTACTACAATAACATTAGTATTTAGTATTTCCTGCTGTATGTGTCAGTTGGCTTCTTTTCAGGTCTCCCTCGTGTAATAGTTTTTAACCTGATTAAACAAAGGTTAGCAAACCAATACCAAGTGGACCAGAATCCTCAGAGAAGTTAAAGAGATTGAATATCTAACAGTGTTGTGTAAACAGAGCCCTTGTTTGTGGAGTTATTTTCCTTACATTTTTTACCCACCAGTTGTTTATACAGTTCACATATCAATAATGTGCTAAACTACACTAGAGAGATGGCCTGCTTTTTAACAATGGGATAACATGCTCCATCTCCATAATGTGTCTGTGAACATAGAAACTAGTTCACTCACATTGTAAAAAAACAAAATGAACGCATTTAGAAGTTGACTGTGTTGCGTCAACGGTGATGCCAATGTTAAAATGTCCTGGGGTGTTGTGAGTTGAGCCAGGCACAATTACGTTTGTTTTCGACCGATAAATCGTTTGAGATGCTCCATTTATGAAAACGCATCGGCATGTCAAACCAATGTGTTTGTCTCAGCTCAATGTACCCAGAACTAATATGACATTGCATGGTCGCCACGCTTTAACCATAAGGTTGTCAGAATCCTGACTGTCAATGATTATCTCCATCCTATAACATCTTAAACCTCTTGGGGTGACCGCATGTTTTAGTCGAAGTGTTACGAGGTTGTTTGTTGAAAACGTTACATTCACAGGCCCGCTCCCTGTGATTCTGTGGTCCTCTGTAGCTCAGCTGGTAGAGCACGGCGCTTGTAACGCCAGGGTAGTGGGTTCGATCCCTGGGACCACCCATACACACAAATGTATGCACGCATGACTGTAAGTCGCTTTGGATAAAAGCGTCTGCTAAATGGCATATTATTATTATTATTCTGTACAGCGATAGTGAAAATGAAGTCATACAGAGCAGACAGGTCATTCACCACGATTGACTTCACGGTCCTAACGATCTTGTCCAACCCAGAATTCCTACGATGTGGTTCCCATTATAGCTGCTGGACTGGGGGATTGAAGCTGTTGCTCAGGCTGAAGTAAAAACAACTGAAAATCCATAATGACGTGTCATGGGATGAGGTTGGGCTTTTCATGCACTATATTTCTACAATAGATAGAGAGCGTGACATTTGGGCTCTCTGGAGGAATCAAGGCTTTGGAGAAAAGTTTACTATAGCAAGGCCTTACTGAGCAAAACACTTCTGCTGACTGGGTCCATGCCACACAGGGGGTTTGGGAGAGCCTCGGGAGTCAAAACTCTAGGATAGTTTCCCAACGCAATCTTGTGGAAAAATGCAGCTTGTGGAAAAATCCTGAATTATCATTAATATAGCCAGTGTGTGGTCATAGATAGATAGAGATAGATAGAGACTGAGATCGACATGATGACTGAAGACACATAATACTGCTCCCTCCTTGCAGTCTCTCACAATGATGACTAAAAAATGATCAACTTTCTAGGCCACGATGTTCCCTAATATTCAAATTCAGTCTTTCATTCAGACTCTTAAATGAAGGATTATGGTGTCTCTGTAATGACAGTATTACAGAGACAGAGAGAGCAGGCCATCAGATCACCAGCTCTACTGGCAGCTCTCCCTGCTACCGTAGGTTCAGTCACTGCAGGTTACACTTTAGGAAACCAAGTTTCAGTGTTTTTACAGTTAAAGTTAATCTCAAGGTGACTCTCTCTCTCTCTCTCTCTCTCTCTCTCTCTCCTCTCTCTCCTCTCCTCTCTCTCCTCTCTCTCTCCTCTCTCTCTCTCTCTCCTCTCTCTCTCTCTCTCTCTCTCTCTCTCTCGCTGTCTCTCTCAATTCAGTTCAATTTAAATTCAATTTAAGGGCTTTATTGGCATGGGAAACGTGTGTTGACATTGCCAAAGCAAGTGAAGTAGATATTAAACAAAAGTGAAATAAACAATAAAAATTAACAGTAAACATTACACTCAGAAGTTCCAAAAGAATAAAGACATTTCAAATGTCATATTATGTCTATATACAGTGTTGTAATGATGTGCAAATAGTTAAAGTAAAAAATGGGAAATAAATAAACATAAATATGGGTTGTATTTACAATGGTGTTTGTTCTTCACTGGTTGCCCTTTTCTTGTGGCAACAGGTCACAAATCTTTCGGCTATGATGGCACACTGTGTTATTTCACCCAATAGATATGGGAGTTTATCAAAATTGGGTTTGTTTTGGAATTCTTTGTGGGTCTGTGTAATCTGAGGGAAATATGTGTCTCTAATATGGTCATACATTTGGCAGGAGGTTAGGAAGTGCAGCTCAGTTTCCACCTCATTTAGTGGGCAGTGTGCACATAGCCTGTCTTCTCTTGAGAGCCAGGTCTGCCTACGGCGGCCTTTCTCAATAGCAAGGCTATGGTCACTGAGTCTGTACATAGTCAAAGCTTTCCTTAAATTTGGGTCAGTCACAGTGGTCAGGTATCCTGGGGTTCTGTGGGGTCTGTTTGTGTTTGTGAACAGAGCCCCAGGACCAGCTTGCTTAGGAGACTCTTCTCCAAGTTCATCTCTCTGTAGGTGATGGCTTTGTTATGGAAGGTTTGGGAATAGCTTCCTTTTAGGTCGTCGTAGAATTTAACGGCTCTTTTCAGGATTTTAATAATTAGCGGGTACTGGCCTAATTATGCTCTGCATGCATTATTTGGTGTTTTACGTTGTACACAGAGGATATTTTAGCAGAATTCTGTCTGTCTCTCTCACTCTGTGTATCTCTCTCTCTCTGTCTGTCTGTCTGTCTGTCTGTCTCTCTTTCTTTCTCACTCTCTCTCTCTCTTTCTCTCTCCCTCTTTCTCTCTCTCTCTCTCTCTTTCTCTCCTCTTTAAAGATGGAGATAGTGTAAGGATGATACAGGAAGAGCTGGGTCACACCAGGAATGAGCGTTCCACATTAACGCTGCTGAGCTCAGCCGTTACACATTACCACCTTGATCATAAAGCCATGTGGCGAGGGCAGTGGGGTTTTACTGCATACCAAATGGCACCCTATTCCTCTATGAGCCCTGGTCAAACGTAGTGCACTATAAAGGGAATAAGGTGCTATTTAGGATGTAGCATGGAGCTTTAAAGTACTGTATTAGAGGCTAAGGGGCCTATAGATAGATAAAAGTAGTCTGGTTCCAACCTATTACCGCCATGTTAGAAGTCAACACAGGCCAATTCTCCTAGACACTGAGACAGGCTTGGCAATAACCCTTATAGTGGTACTATAAAGCAAGCAGTATGGGTTTTTACTGTATAGTCCATACTGTATATATATATATATATATGTGTGTGTGTTGTTTTTTTTAAACCGTTTTAGACATTTAGCAGAAACTCTTATCCAGAGCGACTTACAGGAGCAATTAGGATGAAGTGCCTTGCTCAAGGGCACATCGACAGATTTTCAACCCAGTCAGCTCAGGGATTCAAACCAGTGACCTTTCGGTTACTGGCCCAACGCTCTTAAGCACTAGGCTACCTGCCGCCCCATGGTCCATCTCACCAAAGAATAGAATATATTGTGTTTTCAACTCACTGACATGCGTACAGTATACATGTACAGTGTGTAGTGCAGTACTGCTGAAATCAATGGACAGACGCAGATACATTACCTTCATTATGTCCCATCTTAGTTCATTCTGTATTAGTCTGTGTGGGCCAAGTCAGATTAAAGGGGTAGGTTAAGATCTAGAGAGCATGTCAAGGACTCTGAGGTGAAACCACGGTGCTCCACTCCTGAGGGACTCTGAGGTGAAACCACGGTGCTCCACTCCTGAGGGAGAGACTACTAAGAACCAGCTATAGTATTAGCCAGCTAGCTTACATAATTAGCATTCCTCTCTGTTTGAGCCGGTTGTTTGAGTAGGCTAAATTAGCTAACTGCATTAGCTAGCTAAGTAAGAGAAAGTTTTAAAAATACAACAAAATATAGCTAGCTCTCTCTCTCTCTTTCTTTCTCTGCTGCTTCTCCTTCATTTTTGAAGAAACAAATTAGTTAAAAACTGTTTAACTATTGTCTTTCTCTCTCTTTGAGTCAATTACTCACCACATTTTATGCACTGCAGTGCTAGCTAGCTGTAGATTATGCTTTCAGTTCTAGATTAATTCTCTGATCCTTTGATTGGGTGGATAACATGTCAGTTCATGCTGTTAGAGCTCTGATAGGTTGGAGGACGTCCTCCGGAAGTTCTCATAATTACTGTGCAAGTCTATGGAAGGGGGTGAGAACCATGAGCCTCCTAGGTTTTGTATTGAAGTCAAGGTACCAAGAGGAGGACAAAAGCTAGCTGTCCTCTGGCTACACCATGATGATACCCTACAGAGTGCTGTTGAGGCTACTGTAGACCTTCATTGCAAAACAGTGTGTTTTAATCAGTTATTTGGTGACGTGAATATATTTAGGATAGTTTCACACTGTTTCATCCTTGAGTAGGATGTTCCTCCCCTCCCCTTCCACTGTCAGGATCAACCCTGATCCATAGAGCACTAAAACAGCCAGGATCAACCCTGATCCAAACAGTACTAAAACAGCCAGGATCAACCCTGATCCAAACAGTACTAAAAGAGCCAGGATCAACCCTGATCCAAACAGTACTAAAACAGACAGGATTATTATTCTCCTCTAGTCTCCTCTATTGTCATATTTTGTTTGTTTTTTCATTTTAGCAGACACTCTTATCCAGAGCGACTTACAGTTAGTGAGTGCATACATTTTCTTTCATACTGGTCCCCCTTGGGAATCGAACCCACAACCCTGGCGTTGCAAGCACCATGCTCTACCAACTGAGCTACAAGGGACCATATATTGTCCTCTAGTCTCCTCTATTCATTAGACAGTCTTCCTGAAGGGAAAAACAGAGAGCCAATCAGACCCTGGATCATTAGACAGTCTTCCTGAAGGGAAAAACGGAGAGCCAATCAGACCCTGGATCATTAGACAGTCTTCCTGAAGGGAGACAGAGAGCCAATCAGATCCTGGATCATTAGACAGTCTTCCTGAAGGGAAAAACGGAGAGCCAATCAGACCCTGGATCATTAGACAGTCTTCCTGAAGGGAAAAACGGAAAGCCAATCAGACCCTGGATCATTAGACAGTCTTCCTGAAGGGAGACACAGAGAGCCAATTAGACCCTGGATCATTAGACAGTCTTCCTGAAGGGAGACAGAGAGCCAGTCAGACCCTGGATCATTAGACAGTCTTCCTGAAGGGAGAGAGGGCATGTAGGGAAGAATGAGGGGTCTTTGCCTCATAGCGGAGATGAAGAGATTATTGTCATCCCCATGTCCATGTAGAGGTGGGAGCCATTGTTGTGGATTGTGGATTTTGTTGTTTGTGTTGCCGAGAGCAAAAGGTGGAGGGATTAGACAAGGGATAGATTCTGTTTCCATGGACATTTGGCATTTGAAACATTCGATATTGTCAAGGTTGTCCAACGTGCCCTATTGATCAGGACTCAAATACATGTCATGCCCACTGGGATTCAACAATGTGAGATTCTGCTCTGTAAAAAGGAGCTATGAAAGTGACTCCGACTGTAAGCTTCTTTTAGAGGACGAGAGGAGGAGGGCTGCCTGGAGCCATCTGAAGAGGAGAGGTGTCTTGTTGGAAATAGGGGAGGATAATACATGTAAGCTTCCACTATCTCATCCAGTGGCGTTTAGTGACTTCTCTCTAACAAGAAAATGACCTTTAAACTAGACTAAACATTGTGTTCCCTCGTGGTCCACACAGTAGGTGGAAATCTCCCTAAAGATAAGGAGCTTTCAGACCAGTGTCTTCCTACCAAGTACAGTATATATAAGGCCAACATGTGGTCCACTGTGGGTCCAGCATGAGGCCTGCTCTCTGTCTCTCCGGACCAATCTGAACCCTACTCCCTATGCAGTAGGGACCTACTTTAAGCCAGAACCACAGGGTTCCATTTAGGATCTACTGCACCTGTTCTTGTTGCTGGAGATCCAATCAGAGATGAGTGACACGGCTTGGCGGTGACAGTGCTTGTTCCCGAAACTACATGCCAGCATGATCACCTCTCTCTGCAGCTCTCTGTCGATGAGAAAGAGGGAGGGAGGGAGGGAGGGAAGGAGCAAGGAAGGAAGGGAGGAAGGAAGGAAGGAAGGAAGGAAGGAAGGACAGGAAGGAAGGAATGAAGTCGTGGAAGGTCCTTCATTGTCGTTCTGTCTTTCTTTCTTCTTTCTGGTTCTTGTCTTTCTTTTCCTTCCTCTTCCTTCCTTCCTTCCTTCCTTCCTTCCTTCCTTCCTTCCTTCCTTCCTTCCTTCTTCTTCCTTCCCTTCCTTCCTTCCTTCCTTCCTTTCCTTCCTTCCTTCCCTTCCTTCCTTCCTTGTTCTTCTTCTTCTCTTTTCTTCCTTCCTTCCTTCCTTCCTTCCTTCCTTCCTTCTCCTTCTCTTCCTCCTTCCTTCCTTCCCTTCCTTCCTTCCTTCCTTCCTTCCTTCCTTCCTTCGCTTCCTCCTTCCTTCCTTCCTCTCCTTCCCCCCCTTCCTTCCTCCTTCCTTCCCTCCTTCCCCCTTTCCCTTTCCCTTTCCCTTTCCTTCCTTCCCCTTCCCCCCGGGTTCCCCTTTCCCTTTGGGGGTTTTCCTTCCTCCCCTTTCCTGCCCCCCCCCGGGGCCGGCCCCCTTTTTTCCGGCCTTTTGGGGACCCCGGGCCGTCCGCCTTCCCCCCCCCCACCCCGGGGGGGACCGGGGCCTGTTCCGCCCCCAAAACCCCGCCCTGGGGTTTTTGTGGTGCCTGTCCTCCCACCCTCCCCCCCCGCCCTCGTTTTTTGAGGGTGCCTTTTAAAACCAACACCCCCCCCCCCGCCCCTCTTTTTTGTGGCTTTTTGCCGCTCCCCCCCCGCCCACCCACCCCAACTCGGTTTGGTGGGGGGGAAAAGGGGAAAAACTGTAAAAGAAAATAAGGGGGGGGGTTTTGGGGGGGGAGGGATTTAAATAGAAAACCCCCAGCCATGTTGGGGAAAAGGGGAAAGGAACCCCTTAAACACCCCCCCAGCCACCTTGTGTGAGAGGTGACGGTATCGACACAGCCCAACCCAGCCACTCTTGGGGTGAGGGGGACTGTATACCACATCCCAAACCCAGCCCCCTTGTGTGAGAGGTGACTGTATACGACGACATCCCAACCCCCACCGTTGTTTTGAAAGTGACTGTTTTACAACGAACCCCAAAACCCGCCATTTCGTTGTGTGAGAGGTGACTGTATACGACAACATCCCAACCCAGCCACTCGTTGTGTGAGAGGTGACTGTATACGACGACATCCCAACCCAGCCACTCGTTGTGTGGGGGAGAGGTGACTTTTTCCCCCCCACCCCCCATCCCCCCAAACCCCCCACTCTTTTTGTGAGGGGTTACTGAAATACGACGACATCCCAACCCCCCCCTTTCCTTTTGTGTGGGGGTTAAATGAAATACGACGACCCCACCCCCACTCTTTGGGGTTAGGGGTGACTGATCCCCGACATCCCAAACCCCCCACCATTTCGGTGTGTGAGGGTGACTTGTATCCGACGACCCCCAAACCCCCACTCTTTTGTTTTAGGGGTGACGGTAACACGACACCCCAAACCCAGCCACTCGTTGTGGGGAGAGGGACTGTAAAACGCGCATCCCAACCCAGCCACCGTTGTTTTAGAGGGGGACTTATAGGGACGCCCCCCCAAACCCACCCCGTTGGTGAGGGGTTGACTTTTAAAACCGACACCCCAACCCCAAAACCCCCCTCGTTGTGTGAAAAGGTGACTTTTAATACGACACTTTCCCCCCCCCCCCCCCGGGGTTTTGGGGGTTTAACTGTTACGACGAATCCCACCCCCCACTCGGGTGTAGGGGTGCCCGGGTATACGACGACATCCCAACCCAGCCACTCGTTGTGTGAGAGGTGACTGTATACGACGACATCCCAACCCAGCCCCCGTTTTTTTGGGGTACTGTTATACACACATTAAACCCCCCCAGCCCCTGTTTTGTGAGGGGTTGCCTTTATAGACGACCCCCCAACCCACCACTCTTTGTGTAAAGGTGACGGGTACCCACGACATCCCAACCCACCCACTCTTGTGTGGGGGTTTGCCCGTTACGACAAACACCCCAACCCCAGCCCTCGTTTTGTGAGGGGTTTACTGTAACGACAACATCCAACCCAGCCACTCTTTTGTGGAGAGGGGGACTGAAATCGACAACATCCCAACCCAGCCACTCGTTGTGTGAGGGGGACTGTATCGAAAACACCCCCCCAACCCAAAAGCCACTCGTTTTTTAGGGGTTAGGGTTATACGCCCAACTCCCAACCCCACCCCCCGTTGTGTGAAGGTGACTTTTAATACGACAACACCCCAAACCCCGCCCTCTTTGGGTTGAGAGGTGACTTAAAAAACGAAACATCCCCCCCCCGCCCCCCTTTTTTTTGGGAAAAGGTAAACTGTATACAAAAAACCCCCCAACCCAAACCACTCTTTGTGTGAAGGGACTGAAAACGACAACATCCCAACCCGGGGCCACTCTTTTGTTTTAGAGGGGGCCTGAAAAACGAAAAACACCCCAAACCCGCCACTCTTTTGTGGGGAAGGGGTTCCGTATAAGAAAAAAATTCCCCCAACCCGGGCCACTCGCTGGGGTGAGAGGTGATTTGTATACGACAACACCCCAACCCCAAAGCCCCCCCGGTTGTTTTGGGGGTTTACTTTACCGACAACATCCCAACCCACCCCACTCTTTTTGGGTGAGAGGTGACTGAAAATGCGAAAACACCCAACCCACCACTCTTTTGTGAGAGGTGCTGTATACACAACATCCCAACCCAGGGCCACCTTTTGTGAGAGGGCCGTATACACAACACCCCCAACCCGGGCCACCGTTGTTTTGAGAGGTAAACTGTATACAAAAACTCCCAACCCCCCCCCCCTTCGTTGTGTGAGGGTTAAACTGTTCCGAAAAAACCCACCCCAAACCCCACCCCACTCGTTTTTAAAGGTGACTTAGACGACAAAAACCCCCAACCCACCCTCTTTGTGTGAGAGGTGACTGAAAATCCACAAACACCCCAAACCCCCCGGGCCACTCGTTGTTTGAGGGTACTTTTAAAACACAACACCCAAAAACCCCCCATTTCTTTTGTGTGGGAGGTGATGTTCGAAAACATCCCAACCCCCCACTCTTTTGTGTGGGGGTTAAACTGTAATAGGGGAAAACCCACCCAACCCAGCCACTCTTTGGGTGTAAAGAGGTGCTGAAAGACAAAACCCACCCAACCCAAACCCCACCCCCCTTTTTTGTGTGAAAAGGTTTACTGTAAACGCCCAAACATCCCAACCCACCCTCTTTTGTGTGAGAGGTGACTGTAGCAAACCCCCCAAAACCCACCACTCTTTTGTGTGAGAGGTCCTGTATGCAAAAAAACCCCCAACCCAGCCACTCTTTTTTGGGATCTGTATAGCCCAACCCCCACCCAGCCCCCCCTCTTTTTTGGAGGGTACTGAAATACGACAAAAATCCCAACCCCGCCATTTCTTGTGTGAGGGTTTGACTGTAGCCGACAACATCCCCCCCCAGCCACTGTTGTGTGAGAGGTGACGTTCCCGCAACATCCCAACCCACCCCCCTCTTTTGTGGAGGTGACTGTAACACAACCCCCCCAACCCACCCACTCGTTGTGTGGAGGTGACGGGTAAAACGAAAAACCCCCAAAAACCCACCACTCTTTTGGGGTGGGGTTTTTGGAAACGAAAACACCCCAAACCCCAGCCCTCTTGTGTGAGGGGTTGCTGTTATACAACAACCCCCCAACCCAGCCACCCCTTGGGGTGAGAGGTCCCTGAAATCACAATCCCAACCCAGCCCTCTTTTGGGGGGGGAGGTACTGTATCCCGCAAAAACCCCCCAACCCAGCCACCGTTGTGTAGAGGGACTGTATCGAAAAACACCCCAAAAAACCCCAAGCCACTCTTTGGGGTTTTAAAGGGGACTTTTATCACAACACCCCAAACCCCCGGGCCATCTTTTGTAGAGGGATGTATGCGACAACATCCCAACCCAGCCACTCGTTGTGTGAGAGGTGCCTGAAATCCCGACAACACCCCCCCCCAAACCCATTTTTTTTGGTGTGAAAAGGTGACGGAAATGCTTCCCATACTCATCTGGGGGGCCTGCAAAATGGACCCTTTCTGGAGCCCCCAAAGGGCCCCACCCCATTTTGGGGTTACTTTGGGGGCCACTTCTTCAGCACGTAGTCCTGTTGGGGAGAAAGTAGGAAGCAACACAAAAACAGCAGATAGATGTTATTAGTAAACCCAAACAAAAAAAAAGACAGTATTTGGGGGAAAATTTGCACACATTTTTTAAAAATATTTTAAGGGGCAGGGGAAATTTTGGAAAATCACGGAAATCCCCCAAAACAGGACTCGGGCCCAAAACAGTGTCATTTTTTTTCCTGGGGTTTTTGATATTTCATTATAAAAAGGCTGACTCTTATTATAAAAGGACAACGCCCGGGTTGCCCTCCAACTGATCTACCTTGAAATTTGAAACGGGGGGAGGCAAAAAAACCATCAAAGGGGCCGGGATGGCCCCCTTTGGGAAATAAAACGGGGGGGCAGAAAAACCAATCAAACGGCCGGGAAAGGGCCCCCCTTGTAATGAAAAAAGGGGGAGGGCAAAACCAAAACCATCAAAGGGCCAGGAGGGCCCCCCTTTGTAATAAAAACGGGGGGAGGGCAAAAAACCCAAAATAAAAAAAACCAAAGGGAAGGGGGGGGGGGGGTTTGGCCCCCTTGTATGAAAGGGGGGAAAGGGCAAACAACCATAAAACCCGGCCAGGGGAAAAAAAAAAAAAATGAAAAACGGGGAGGGCAAACACCATCAAACGGCCAGGAGGGGCCACCTTTAATAAAACCAGGGGAGGCAGAACAACCACAAAGGGCCAGTTTGGCCACCTTGTAAAAACAGGGGGAGGGCAGAACAACCACAAACGGCCAGGATGGCCCCCTTTTAAATAAAACAGGGGGAGGGCAGAACAACCATCAAACGGCCAGGATGGCCACCTTGTAATGAAACAGGGGGAGGGCAGAACAACCATCAAACGGCCAGGATGGCCACCTTGTAATGAAACAGGGGGAGGGCAGAACAACCATCAAACGGCCAGGCGCTGTATAGGATGATGGATGTTTCCTAAATGACACCCTACTGTATTCCCTGGGAAAGTACAATACTTTTGACCAGAACCTTATGGGCCCTGGCCAACAGAAGTGCATTATAAACTGAATGGGGAAGCCATTTGGGACGCATGTTGTAAATGTGTTGCCTCTCCGAACCACACAGCGGGTGATGCCAAGGCTAATTTAGGCGTAGCGTCTCTCATTCATGGTCCCTTATTGAAAGCAGATCATTATTTACATTAGGGCCCAGCCTGGCTGCCACACTAAGGGTGTAGCGGACTTCAAAACACACACACACACACACACACACACACACACACCACACACACACACACACAACACACACCAGACACACACACACACACACCACACACATACAGACACACACACACACACACACACACACAACACACACACACACCACACAGACACACACACACACACACAGACACACACACACACACACACACACAGACACAACACACACACACACACACACACAAACACACACACACACACATACACACACAACACACACACACACACACACACACACACACACACACACACCACACACCACACACACACACACACCACACACACACACACCACACACACACCACACACACACATACACAACACACACATACACACACACACACACACACACACACACACCTACCACACACACACCACATACACACACCAACACAACACACCACACACACACACACACATAGACACACACACACACATACACACACACACACCACACACACACACACACACACACACACCCACACACACACACACACACACACACACACACACACACACCACACACACACACACATACACACCCACACACACACACACATACACACACACACACACACACACACACACACAGCTGTCCTACTAAATGAAGAGGACTATCTTCCTTCCTCATCCTAGTGGGAGGTAACAGCGTTCATTTTTCTGTTGTTCTCCATGTAAATCACCTTTCTGGGGTTTGTGTCCCAAATGGCACCCTATTCCCTTTACCGTGCACTACTACCCACTATGACTCTGGTCAAAAGTAGTGCACTATATAGGGAATAGGGTGCCATTTGGAATGCAAACTGTATCTGTGTATAGAACCATTCACTGCCAACACTGAGGGTTAATACCACACAGCTAAGTACTAAACACTCCTCCTCAGACTGGTGTGTGTGTGTGTGTGTGTGTGTGTGTGTGTGTGTGTGTGTGTGTGTGTGTGTGTGTGTGTGTGTGTGTGTGCGTGCGTGCGTGCGCTCTCTCTCTGGACCCGGCAGAGGCACCTGGTGGTCTGTTTAGAGAATGCCAGAAGGCCAGGCCATGAATAATCTGTCCTCCATTATTCTCTACAACATCTGCTTGGACAGACAAATGAACAAATGAACACCGGTCCCAGAGGAGTGGGCCACCAACAGCCCTGACACTCTCCCTCCCTCTCTGACACTCTCCCCCCCTCCCTGAAACTCTCCCTCCCTCTCTGACACTCTCCATCCCTCCCTGAAACTCTCCCTCCCTCTCTGACACTCTCCCCCCCTCCCTGACACTCTCCCTCCCCTCTCCTGCACTCTCCCTCCCCCTCCCTGAACTCTCCCCCCCTCCCTGACACTTCCCTCCCCTGACAAACTTCCTCCCTCCCGACATCTTCCTCCTCTTGACAATCTTCTCCCTCCCTGAACTCTTCCCTCCCTGACACCCTTTCCTCCTCCCTGAACACTCTCCCCCTGACAATCTTCCTCCTCTCTGACAACTTCCTCCCTCTCGACAAATTCCCCCCCCCCTCCCTGACCCCTCTTCCTCCCTCTCTGACACTCTTCCCCCCCCCTGACACCTCTTCCTCCCCCCTGACAACTCTCCTCCCTCCCCTGACACTCTTCTCCCTCCCTGACAATCTCCCTTCCTCCTGACACTCCCTCCCTGACAAAAAACTTCTCCCCCTCTGACACTCTCCTCCCTGACACTCTCCCTCCCTCCCTGAAAACTCTTCCTCCCTCCCTAACCACTCCTCCCCCCTGACAAATCGTCCTCCCTCCTGACACTCTCCCTCCCTCCCTACCACTCCCCCCCCTCCCCTCCTGACACTCTCCCTCCCTGACAATCGTCCTCCCTCTCTGACAATCTTCCTCCCTCTCTGACACTCTCCCCCCTCCTGACACTCTCCCTCCCTCCCTGACACTCTCCTCCCCCCTCTCTGACACTCTCCCTCCCACCCTGACCCTCCCTCCTCTCCCTGACACTCTCCCTCCTCTCTGACATCTCCCTCCCTCTCGACACTCTCCCCTCCTCTCTGAAATCTTCCTCCCTCTCTGACACTCTTCTCCTCTCCCTCCCTCTGACACTCTCCCTCCTCCTCTGACACTCTCCCTCCCTCTCTGACACTCTCCCTCCCTCTCTGACACTCTCCCTCCCTCCCTGACACTCTCCTCCCCCCCTCTGACACTCTCCTCCCCCTGACACTCTCCTCCCTCCCTGACACTCCCTCCTCCCCCCTGACACTCTCCCTCCCCCCTGACACTCTCCTCCCTCCCTGACACTCTCCCTCCCTCCCTGACACTCTCCTCCCTCCCCTCCCTGACACTCTTCCCTCCCTCCCTGACACTCTCCCTCCCTCCCTGACACTCTCCCTCCCACCCTGACACTCTCCCTAACTCCCTGAGACTCTCCCTCCCTTGCTACCACTCTCCCTCCCTCCCCTCCCTGACACTCTCCCTCCCACCCTGACACTCTCCCTAACTCCCTGAGACTCTCCCTCCCTTGCTACCACTCTCCCTCCCTCCCTGACACTCTCCCTCCCTCCCTGACACTCTCCCTCCCTTTCTAACACTCTCCCTCCCTCCCTGACACACCTCCTCCCTCCCTGACACTCTCCCTCCCTCTCTGGCACTCTCCCTCCCTCCCTGACACCCTCCCTCCCTTTCTAACACTCTCCCTCCCTCCCTGACACTCTTCCTCCCCTCCCTGACACTCTCCCTCCCTCCCTGACACTCTCCCTCCCTCCCTGACACTCCTCCTCCCTCCCTGACACTCTCCCTCCCTTTCTAACACTCTCCCTCCCGCTCTGACACTCTCCTTCCCGCTCTGACACTCTCCCTCCCTCACTGACACCCTGGAAAGTGAGACAGAGCACCCACTGATGATAAAGCCTAGTAGAACTGTGTGAATTTTCACACTGACAAATGGACTGGACTGCACTGTCTTTGATAGATAACAAACCTCATTATGGTTTCACTTAAACACGACCAACAAACAATTTAAAAGTCATTAAAACCCGTACATCAAGACCTCCAGACCTGTGCTGGTGTTCAGTGGGTGTACTAGTTCATAAGGTTAGTGCTGGGCAGAAGCTCCTGAACCCTTATCCACAGTAAGGTGCTGGGGGTCGTTAGAGAGGGTCTGAGAGGTCACCAGCTGTACCAAACAGGCTGTAGGTGGAGGGTTATGGTCAGGGTTAGGATTAGGGTTAAAGGTCAGAGGTTATAAACTACACTGAAGTGGCTGTAGTCCTCTGTGCAGTCTAGCAGCTTGGTTAGGGTCAGGGTCAGGGTTAGAGGTCAGAGGTTATAAACTACACTGAAGTGGCTGTAGTCCTCTGTGCGGTCGAGCAGCTTGATTAGGGTCAGGGTCAGGGTTAGAGGTCAGAGGTTAAAACGTACACTGAAGAGGCTGTAGTCCTCTGTGCGGTCCAGCAGCTTGATTAGGGTCAAGGTCAGGGTTAGAGGTCAGAGGTTAAAACATACACTGAAGAGGCTGTAGTCCTCTGTGCGGTCGAGCAGCTTGTCCAGCTGGTAGAGGGAGCGGCTGGCAGCGTGCCAGGGGAGGAACTCTCTCTCCTGGGGTAGGTAGCAGATTATCTGGAGGGGCACATTCTGGGGTAGGTAGCCAGCCCTGGGGAGGAGAGAGATTCAACACATTAATATACCATAGTGAATAGGAGAAGTGGTAGTTCTGGCGGTAGGTAGCCAGTTCTGGGGAGGAGAGGGGAGAGAGTATGTTAATTAAGCAATAAGGCCCGAGGGGATGTGGTAAATGGCCAATATACCAGCTTCTGCCCTGGTTCTCCTCAGACTTGACTGCCCTTGACCAGCACAAAAACATCCTGTGGCGTACAGCATTAGCATCAAATAGCCCCCGCGATATGCAACTTTTCAGGGAAGTTAGGAACCAATATACACAAGCAGTCAGGAAAGCAAAGGCTAACTTTTTCAAACAGAAATTTGCATCCTGTAGCACTAACTCCAAAAAGTTTTGGGACACTGTAAAGTCCATGGAGAATAAGAGCACTTCCTCCCAGCTGCCCACTGCACTGAGGCTAGGAAACACTATCACCACCGATAAATCTACAATAATCGAGAATTTCAACAAGCATTTTGCTACAGCTGGCCATGCTTTCCATCTGGCTACCACTAACCCGGCCACCAACTCTGCACCCTCTGCTGCAACTTGCCCATGCCCCCCCCGCTTCTCCTTCACACAAATTCAGACAGCTGATGTTTTGAAAGCGCTGCAAAATCTGGACCCCTACAAATCAGCTGGGCTAGACAATCTGGACCCTTTCTTTCTAAAACTAGCCGCCGAAATTGTCGCAACCCCTATTACTAGTCTGTTCAACCTCTCTTTCATAACGTCTGAGATCCCCAGAGATTGGAAAGCTGCCGCGGTCATCCCCCTCTTCAAAGGGGGTGACACTCTAGATCCAAACTGCTACAGACCTATATCCATCCTGCCCTGCCTTTCGAAAGTATTCGAAAGCCAAGTTAACAAACAGATCATCAACCATTTCGAATACCACCGTACCTTCTCCGCTATGCAATCCGGTTTCCGAGCTGGTCACGGGTGCACTTCAGCCACGCTCAAGGTCCTAAACGATATTATAACCGCGATTGATAATAGACAGTACTGTGCAGCCGTCTTCATCGACCTGGCCAAGGCTTTCGACTCTGTCAACCACCGCATTCTTATTGGCAGATTAAATAGCCTTGGTTTCTCAAATGACTGCCTCGCCTGGTTCACCAACTACTTCTCAGATAGAGTTCAGTGTGTCAAATCGGAGGGCCTGTTGTCTGGACCTATGGCAGTCTCTATGGGGGTGCCACAGGGTTCAATTCTTGGGCCGACACTTTTCTCTGTGTATATCAATGATGTCGCTCTTGCTGCTGGTGACTCTCAGATCCACCTCTACGCAGACGACACCATTTTGTATACATCTGGCCCTTCATTGGACACTGTGTTAACAAACCTCCAAACGAGCTTCAATGCCATACAACAATCCTTCAGTAGCCTCCAACTGCTCTTAAACACTAGTAAAACTAAATGCATGCTTTTCAATCGAACGCTGCTGGCACCCGCCCACCCGACTAGAATCACCACTCTCGACGGGTCTGACCTAGAGTATGTGGACAACTACAAATACCTAGGTGTCTGGTTAGACTGTAAACTCAACTTCCAGACTCACATAAAGAATCTCCAATCCAAAGTTAAATCTAGAATCGGCTTCCTATTTCGCAATAAAGCCTCCTTCACTCATGCTGCCAAACATGCCCTCGTAAAACTGACTATCCTACCGATCCTTGACTTCGGCGATGTCATTTACAAAATAGCCTCCAACACTCTACTCAGCAAATTGGATGTAGTCTATCACAGTGCCATCCGTTTTGTCTCCAAAGCCCCATACACTACCCACCACTCTGACCTGTACGCTCTTGTTGGCTGGTCCTCACTACATGTTCGTCGTCAAACCCACTGGCTCCAGGCCATCTATAAATCACTGCTAGGCAAATCCCGCCTTATCTTAGCTCATTGGTCACCATAGCAGCACCCACCCGTAGTCTGTGCTCCAGCAGGTATATCTCACTGGTCATTCCCAAAGCCAACACCTCCTTTGGCCGCCATTCCTTCCAGTTCTCTGCTGCCAATGACTGGAACGAATTGCAAAAATCTCTGAAGCTGGAGACTCTTATCTCCCTCAATAACTTTAAGCATCAGTTGTCAGAGCACCTTACCGATCACTGCACCTGTACACAGCCCATCTGAAATTAGCCCACCCAACTACCTCATCCCTATATTGTTATTTATTTTGCTCTTTTGTACCCCAGTATCTCTATTTGCACATAATCTCTTGCACATCTAGCATTCCAGTGTTAATACTATTGTAATTATTCTGCACTATAGCCTATTTATTGCCTTACCTCCATAACTTGCTACATTTGCACACACTGTATATATATTTTCTGTTGTATTTCTGACTTTATGTTTTTTACCCCATATGTAACTCTGTGTTGTTTTTATTGCACTACTTTGCTTTATCTTGGCCAGGTCGCAGTGGTAAATGAGAACCTGTTCTCAACTGGCTTACCTGGTTAAATAAAGGTGAAATAAAAAAAATAAATTAAAAAAAATACCACGGCTAAGGGCTGTTCTTAAGCACGACAAAACGTGGAGTGCCTGGATAGCGCCCTTAGCCGTGGTACAGTATATTGGCCATATACCACAAACCCCTGAGGTGCCTTATTGCCATTTTAAACTGGTTACCAACATAATTAGAACAGTAAACAATATATTTTGCTTTATCCCCATGGTATATTGTCTGATATACCACAGCTTTCAGCCAATCAGCATCCAGGGCTCGAACGACCCGGTTTTTAATATACCATATACACCATAAATATACCACAGGGAATATGATGAGTGGTAGTTTTGGGGCAGGTAACCCACCGTGTGGAGATGGATCAAATATGTTAAAATCCTGTAGGGAAGAGGTTTGAAACAACATCAGGGAAGAGAAGAGAGTTCAAGGGCAGGTAACCCACCCTGTGGAGGAGATAGATGGAAGAGGTTCATGGAATATGTAAGTGGTAGAGTTTCGGGGCAGGTATCACGCCCTGCGGAGAAAGAGATAGCTACCATGCTCTAACACAATAGGGAAGGTTCTGTGGAGGGGAGGGGAGAGAGAAAGGTTTACATCATCGGAGAAGGGCATCCTTATCTAGCATCGAGTGTGTCGGTGATATTCTGATATGCACATTCTCCATTTCACAAGCAACCCTGGCTGATAGCCCCCCCCCCCCAAAAAGAAACATACTATTGAGAGTAAGACTAGTAAAATACACCAGGTGCCATTTCTAAATGTGTTGCATCAGCAGTTTCTGTCTTGTTATGACAGTCACTCAATTAACATGTCAGCTAATAAAGTTAGTCTAGCCAGGTATCTGAACTTGTAGTAATCATGGCCGTAAACCAACCGGGCACTCCAGGAGGCCCCCATTGATTTTGTTAGTCATTCTAACTAAGATATCATATTAACATGGCATAATTCATGACAAAATATGTAGAATTGCTGGAATTAGATTTAAAACCGCAGAACGTTCTCTACACCCCATGGCAAAATTAGTAGAATTTTATGAAATGTTGTATAAAATTGCTACTTTTTCTCTCTGCCCCATGGAAAAATGTGTAGAATTGCAGAAAACTTGCTTTAAAACTGCAACATTTTCTCTACGCCCCATGGCAAAATGTATAGAATTGAAGGAAATTAACTTAAAAACATAAATGTTTCTCTCCACCGTCAAGAATGTTTTGCCGTGAGGTGTGGGGCCCCCCAAACAAATCTTGGTTAGGGACCCCAAAAGGCTAGAGCCGGTCCTGTATACCATGTGCAGGTTTAATCCTTCTTCAAGTTGCACCATGCAGAAAAATCGCTCTGCCATTTCCTGGTTGCGAAAACTCAAATAGCTAGCCTAATTTCAGTTTATGTGACAAAATAAGCTAGTATAGTGTAGAGAATCATTCTACCATCTAAACCTCTGTGAAATATATTTTCCATAACCAAAAATATTGTTGTTTCAACTGTTTGAAGCTGGTGTACAATACCGAAAAGTAAAAGACGCAAAAACAAAACTTAAGAACGGGGAAGCATAGAAATAACACGCATAGAACAGATCTACCGTGTCTTAGACTATCTTGCAATGATCAATAAGTCCCATTCTTAGTGAATTTGGTCAGGTCGCCCAAAAAGTTACATATTGCCACTTTAATTCTAGATGTAATTTAACACCAAACCAAATCTGGCTTAGGGCCTCCAAAAGGCTAGAGCCAGCCCTGTATACCGTGTGCAGGTTTATCCTTCTTAATTCTAATAATTTAACACCAAACCACTGAGGAGGCGTGAGGTGGGGGGGCCCCCCAACCAAATCTGGCTTAGGGCCTCCAAAAGGCTAGAGCCAGCCCTGTATTACCGTGTGCAGGTTTATCCTTCTTAATTCTAATAATTTGACACCAAAACCACTGCGGAGGAGTGAAGACAACAAACAGGAGGACTACATCCCATTCTCAGCTACTTAGCGTCCCAAATGGCACCCTATTCCCAACATAGCGCACTTCTTTTGACCAGAGCCCCTGTGGACCCTAGTAAAAAAGTAGTGCACTACATAGAGAATAGAGTGCCATTTAGACTGTGTTCTCACAGCTTGATTTCCACAGCACTGCCTGCTGCATTAATATGGATCATCACATTATCTTAGTAAGCAAAGGCAAATGTGTTTCAGGTGTGTTTTAGTCACGCGTGATGTTGTTTAGCTGTTTTTCTTACTTGTACAACACCTGCTTTCTGTCTCAGCTAGTGTAAAATGCTGAGGAGTCCATAAAACAAGCCAGATATACCTTGGTTAGAACCGCACTGGAATTCTCTATGCATAAAATCCATAAAACATGATAAAAGGCCTTTGAAATAAAGGCAGAGGAACTGTAACAGTTGGGCTGGATCAAACACCCTCTACTGTCTCTGGATCTGGCACATTAAAACACAGCCGCTAGGATTTCAACACTTCGTTACATTCTGACTAAATGAGAATCTCTCTCTCTCTATGAGATGAAGCTTTCGACTCTCCAGCCTGAGCTAAAATTAGCCACTCTGCTCTTCCCAAAAAAATACTTGCCATTGATGCCAGCTCTCTCTCTCTCTCTCTCTCTCTCTCTCTCTCTCCTCTCTCTCCCTCTCTCCCTCTCTCCCTCTCTCGCTCTCTCTCTCTCTCTCTCTCTCTCTCTCTCTCTCTCTCTCTCTCTCTCTCTCTCTCTCTCTCTCTCTCTCGTTCCTAACCAACAAGGAGTTCCAGCATTAACATTAAACAGCCTCTAGTTGTATTAGTGGTATGTACAGGATACACATGGTATACATCGTCCAACCGAACGCTTACTTACAGGTTCCTTCTCAGCAATGCAACAACAATAATAAAAGATAAGAATATGAACATAAAGTAAATGTCTCAGTAGAATAGAATAATACATTTTATCATCAGTATAATACAGGAAGGAACCATTTATAGAACAATATTTACAGGTGTATTGGGGGAAGTGTATAAACTGAGCAGTATAATAAGAGTCCGGTAGCAGCAGTAGTGAGGTGTGCTAAGGTGCGGAGAATCAGAGCAGGTGGTCAGTCCAGTTCAAGCGTCCATCATTCTGATGGCTGGTAGATAAAAACTGTCTCTGAGCCTGTTGGTATCAGACCTCATCTGCCCGACAGTAAGGGAGAGAACAGCTCGTGGTTGGGGTGTGTAGGGTCAATAGATCCCCTGCTGGAGGTGAAACACAGAAATAACATGGCTGCCCACCCCTGACTCACATACTGTATAGTAAAGCATCTACACTGCATTTATATTCAGTTTAATATCTTTTAAAAGTATATTAATGACCTCAACCACAATGTCATATATTTGATACTATTTACGTTTTAACGCTATCAGTCTTCAGTCTTAGGCTACAGAGAGGTATTGTCTTAATTGTAATGCTTATTGTGCAATAACTCCAGGTGGGCAGACAGATCACAGAGCTGGGGCCTGATACCCTGCATACCATAAAATGCCTCCATTAGATAGGACTGACTCGCTAAAGGTAACAGCCACTGAGAAGCAGACCTGGGTTCTAATACTTTTTTTACATCTTTAAAATACTTTGAGGGTTTGCTCTAGCCTGCCTGCGGTGCCATATGGGCCGGGTTTGCAGTTGTGCAGCTATTCTATTGGTTCCATTGCGCCAGGCAAGCTTAATCGAGCACAGGAAAAGTATTCGGAATGCTTTCAAATAGTGTTTGAACCCAGCTCTCATGGAAAGACCCCCTTGACCCTCAATTCATTCCATTCCATTCAGTTTTGCATGATTGCTTTAGCGCAGCTGTAGCTAACTCAGATCTGTGTGTGTGTGTGTGTGTGTGTGTGTGTGTGTGTGTGTGTGTGTGTGTGTGTGTGTGTGTGTGTGTGGTGCTCTAGTGTAGCTAACCCAGGCAGGAGGAAATGCCACGGAGATGAACATTTCTTCCTGGTCTAGTCTTTCTGCCTCGGTGGGGGGTGCACCAAGGGCCTGGCTGATGCTACTCTGGTTCCTTTCCCCGCACACACCCCCTCATAAGCCCATCCCTGTCTCTCCATCTGGGAACTATTCAGATGACCGAATAGGAAAGAACAGGCGTAGGGTGATCATTAGGATAAAATAATACAACATTACTTTGTCAGTGTTTCAGTATATTGACGTTTCTATCCATTCTGCTGCTACTCTGCAACAAATTAGTTCATCATTTATCCCTCATCCCACCACAGACTCCTCCACACACACACACACACACACACACACACACACACACACACACACACACACACACAGACACAGACACAGACACAGACACAGACACAGACACAGACACACACACACACACACACACACACACACACACAAACACCTACACCTACACACACACACACACACACACACACACATACATACACCTACACCTACACACACACACACACACACACACACACAGACACACAGACACACACACACACACACAGACACAGACACACAGACACACAGACACACACACACACACAGACACACACACACACACAGTCTGTGAAACTGGCCCTGATCCTGCTTTTTTAAAGAATTACTTTGCATTCAGCAAAAAAAATTTACTGAGAAATATTAACATCTTAATAACTAAACTCCCACTCCTGAGACATATTAACATCTTACCATTTTTTACGATTGCTTACACACTAAAATTAAACTTTTCCCACAAAACCTTACACTCAAGGAGCAAAACACAAGGCTAGATTTGCACAACTGTAAACACATTGTCAGCTTCACACTATTTGCAAAACATTACACACAGTGATTTGCAAAACACTAAACACACTTGTATACATCAGACACAGAAGTATATCATGATGTCACTTCCTTGCAATTCCAAAGCACTGACTGTCAAATTACCACACCTATGAGCCAATCTGTTAAACACAGCCATCAGGTGCACAAACACATGATTGCTAAATTGTAGACACACCAATCAGGTTTAAGCACTATAAAAATGCAGCAGGTAGGTTCACCTGCCTTCAACCAAAATGGAAGGAGTCAGAAGAAGAGTGAGGGTGAGAGGAGGAGTACACAGAGGAGGAGAAGGAGGTAGAGGAAGAGGCAGAGGCCGAGCCAGAGGTCGAGGAAGACCTGAAGCAGGAGGAGAATTGTGCACAAAGAAGAAGGGGACCAAACTTATCAAATGACATTGGTGCAACACTAGTGGACCATGTTGTGAACCACGGATTGACGCTGAGGGAGGCTGGACTGAGAGTTCAGCCAAATCTTAGCAGATATACAGTGGCATCTGTCATAAGGACTTTTCGACAGGAAAACAGGTAAAAGAAGATATGTCTACAGTTACAGTAATCAGCCGCTTATTGTATGCACCATATCAGCACTTGTGATACCCCTTCCTGTGACATTGTACAGTAAGTTACATGTATTGTTCTCTACATAGGATTGAGGGTCGGGAACGACAAGGAGGAAGGGGGCCCATATTCACGCAAGAACAAGAAAGAGAGAGAGATAATACAGTTTTTTCCAACTGCTTACACACGTTTTCAAAACTATGTCGCCTTTTTTCAAAACTCTACACACAATTCCCAAAACTGCACACACAAAATGCAAAATGCCTCACATCTCCTTCAAAATGTAACACTGCATTCAAAATGCCATAAACACATTTCAGAATGAAGCATTTGCATCAAATGGCAAACACTACTTTCATGATAGTACATTTTTGGATATACCATGTAAACACTGTTGTTCTAAATCTAAAGCTCTTTGGTCTTGCATAGGCTTATATCTACATTTCAATACAATGTTCTACAGTGAAAGTAATCTGCTGAGAGGGGTAACAAGTACACTGTAAACACCAATGCAATGTAGAAACAGAAAATATTTATTAGGCCAAACATTACTGTTGTATACAGCAGCATACAACAAAACCATAAACATATGTAAACCAAAAGTATATTCTTTGGAATACAGTAAAGAACACAATTGTGTGGGGGGTCCCGGGGGGGCAGTCCAGGAAATGGTGGGGGGGGGGCAGTCACCAGTGCTAAGCTACGCTTCATCTCTTCTCCGGGCTGGGTCTGGCCACAATACTTCGTCCACATCACAAGATAGGTTTTCTCTTGCCAAACATCGAGGGAAGTACTGTATCTCCTAGCATGGCGTATCCAACCTTGGACAGAGGCTTTCCTCTATGTCCCCACATGCGTCCTCCATTGCCTGGAGAAGCGGCATGCGGGCATAGGGTTGGCGATCATACACTTTCCAGCGCCAGGCTGAGAAGAATTCCTCTATGGGATTTAGAAAAGGTGAATATGGGGGTAGGTACAAAACTACAAATTGTGGATGGGTGGCAAACCAGTTTTGGACCAGAACAGCCCGGTGAAAACTAACATTGTCCCATGTAACCACAAATCTAGCAGGCTCCTGATCTGGATCAGGGACAAGCATTGTGTAAATTGCATCCAGAAAAGTGAGCATATGGCCGGTGTTGTACGGACCCAGTGTGGCATTGTGATGGAGGACCCCGTTTTGAGTGATGGCAGCACACATAGTTATATTACCCCCACGCTGTCCAGGGACATTGGTAATTGCCCTCTGTCCTATTACATTTCTTCCGCGGCGCCTGGTTTTGGTGAGGTTGAAGCCAACCTCATCCACATAAATACATTTACATGGGCATCCATCTCCAATACTCTCTGTAACAGACAAAATGATATACAGATGAGTAAATTTGGTATGTCTGAAGTACTGGAAGTAGTGTTGCATACATACCTCTACAAAGTCATGTCGCAGATTCTTGACTCTGTCAGAGTTTCTCTCAAATGGCACCTTGTAAAGTTGTTTCATCGTCACTTGGTGCCATTGGAGGATGCGTTGTATGGTCGACAGGCTTACAGCATTGATGTTGTTAAATATGGTGTCATTATTCAAGATATGTTCTCTTATCTCTCAAATCCTAATTGCATTGTTGGCCAAAACCATATTTATAATTGCAGTCTCTTGTACATCTGTAAACAAGCGTCCTCGTCCTCCATGATGTCTTTGCCTTTCCACTCTGTACAAAATTCAAACACAGTATGTGTTCAGCATAGGAACTGTAAACAATGTACACAAAAATGTATTACAGCATGATAACCAACCTCATTCATTCAATGCAGTGCAGTAAATGGATGGCTTAGAGTTACAAATGTTTATGCAATACTATGCAGTCATACGTATTTTACAGTACATTACTGTAATGCTAAAATAGTCATTAGATAGTTGCATACCTGTTCTCATTTCTGAAGGTTCGAATTATGGACGCCACTGTAAATCGACTCAAGTTGGGCTGGACTCTCAGTCCAGCCTCTCTCATGGTCAAACCGTGGTTGATCACATGATCAACAAGTGTTGCCCCAATCTCATTAGAGATGGCTCTCCTTCCTTCTCTTCTTTGCCCTCGTCCTCGTCCTTGTCCTCTTCTTCCTCTTCCTCTTCCTCTTCCTCTTCCTCCTACTCCTCCTCCTCCTCTTCCAACTATTCGTCTTTGAATTTGTCCTCGTTGTTGTCCCCTGCCTCTCCCTGCTACTCCTCTTGCTCTCTGTCCATTGTTGGCATCCATTGATCAAAACAGTCCTATACTACAGTAAAGCAGTGATTGGTTAGTGATCAGTTAAGCAATTAGTGTTTGCACATGTGAGGAGTGTGTGTGTGTCCTGGTGAATAAGTGTAGCATTTTGATTGGTTGTGTTTGGAAAAGGAAAGCAAGTCACTTCCTGTTAGGTTTTTGTGTTTTAGGTAGAGAACTGTGTGTAGTGTTTTGAAAAAAGTGTTTCATGCAATTGACAACTGAGTCAAAGGCTGAGAAATAGCTTATGGTTTTGGAGATTTGGTGTGTAGTTTTGCACTTTGAGTAAGAGGTTTCAAAAATCGTGTGACATGAAAAGATTTTGTGTGTAAGCAGTTGGAAAAAACTGTAAACATGGTTTTGGCCAATAATGCTATCGGGCTCAGAGAACTACAAGCCAACATTAATCGGTGACCATGCCATTTTCAATAATGTCCATCAGGTCTCTCAGTCAACACTGGCACGCATCCTGAAAAAGACATCCGGTTCAAATGAAACAACTTTATCGAGTGCCTTTTGAGCGGATGTGGAGGTTTTATATTGTTCACTTTAGCACTGTGATGTTGCATACTGCACACATGACTTTTTTACATTGACTGTATACTAGACCTATCCTGAACTACACAATCTTGTCTTTCACTGTATTTCAGAGAGTTTTGCAGATGGATGCTGAGGGAAATCCTGCATGAATTCATATATATTGATGAGGCAGGGTTCAACCTCATAAAAGCAAGAAGGAGAGGCAGAAATATCATTGGCCACAGGGCTAAAATCAATGTCCCAGGGCAACGTGGGGGTAAAATCACCCTTTGCGCTGCCATTTCACAGCATGGGGTTCTCTTCCGTCATGCCAAAATGGGCCCTTACAACACACCTCACATTCTCGCATTTTTGGACCGATTGCACCACATCGTCACAGCAGGTAATGAAATGCACCAGATGCAATACACTGTCATCTGGGACAGTGTCATTCCACCGCTCTGCTTTGGTCCAGAACTGGTTTCAACACCATCCACAGTTGACAGTACTATACCTTCCACCATACTCTCAGTTTCTAAACCCTATCGAATAGTTTTTCTCTGCATGGCGGTGGAAGGTTTACGATCTCCAGCCCCAGGCTCAGGTACCCCTCATTCAGGCCATGGAGGACGCCTGTGACCAAGTCGACGCCGCAGCTGTGCAAGGATGGATTCGACATTCAAGACGGTTCTTCCCGCGTTGTCTTGCTAATGAGGATATTGCTTGTGATGTTGATGAAAATCTCTGGCCAGATCCAGCTAGGCGAAGAGATAATGTATAGTATGTTTACTGTAGTATTTTCTGTACAATATTGTCCGTTTCTTTCAGATTATATTTTATGTTTGTTGTTGTTGTTATTTACTGTAATTGTAACCTGTACTGGATACAGTATGTTACGTTTGTCTGTTGTTTGCTGAGCTAACAGTGTTATGCACACTGCTGTAGTAGCATGAAAACTGGGAGATGTTTTGTTGTGATTCTCCATGTTGACATGTTGACTGATTTGGGTATATGGAGAAAAATAAATGATATTTTCCTTAGTCTGCAACATTGGTCTTGTGTTGTGTTTGTATAGTTGCACTTTCTCTGTGTACTTCATTTACAGTACTCTAATCACTGAGAATTAGACTTTTAGGTTAGCAACAGCAGTGTGTAACTGGTTAAAAAAGATTGAAGTCATATGAAATGTGTGTGTTTCGTATGGTAACAAAATATTGTTTTTATGAAGTCGTGTATAGTTTTGACAACAGTGTTCCATTTTGCAAATGATCTGAAGTGTTGTGCTACTTTGGTGTAGGGTTGTGCTAATTGTGTGTAGTGTTTTGATAAACCGGGCCCTGTTTTCAAAATTGTGCTTAAAGAATTGAAAAAAACGGTAATAGTCTTAATTGTTCCTAATTTCCTGGAGAGATCTGTAAACCAGCTGCAGAAAGGAGTCCTCCTCATACTGTTAAACCAGCTTCAGAAAGGACTCCACCTCATACTGTTAAACCAGCTTCAGAAAGGACTCCACCTCATACTGTTAAACCAGCTTCAGAAAGGAGTCCACCTCATACTGTTAAACCAGATTCAGAAAGGACTCCACCTCATACTGTTAAACCAGATTCAGAAAGGACTCCACCTCATTCTGTTAAACCAGATTCAGAAAGGATTCCTCCTCATACTGTTAAACCAGCTTCAGAAAGGACTCCTCCTCATTCTGTTAAACCAGCTTCAGAAAGGATTCCTCCTCATACTGTTAAACCAGCTTCAGAAAGGACTCCACCTCATACTGTTAAACCAGCTTCAGAAAGGACTCCACCTCATACTGTTAAACCAGCTTCAGAAAGGACTCCACCTCATACTGTTAAACCAGCTTCAGAAAGGACTACACCTCATTCTGTTAAACCAGCTTCAGAAAGGACTCCACCTCATTCTGTTAAACCAGCTTCAGAAAGGACTCCTCCTCATACTGTTAAACCAGCTTCAGAAAGGACTCCTCCCCATTCTGTTAAACCAGCTTCAGAAAGGACTCCACCTCATTCTGTTAAACCAGCTTCAGAAAGGACTCCTCCCCATTCTGTTAAACCAGCTTCAGAAAGGACTCCACCTCATTCTGTTAAACCAGCTTCAGAAAGGACTCCTCCTCATACTGTTAAACCAGCTTCAGAAAGGACTCCACCTCATACTGTTAAACCAGCTTCAGAAAGGACTCCACCTCATTCTGTTAAACCAGCTTCAGAAAGGACTCCACCTCATACTGTTAAACCAGCTTCAGAAAGGACTACACCTCATTCTGTTAAACCAGCTTCAGAAAGGACTCCACCTCATTCTGTTAAACCAGCTTCAGAAAGGACCACCTCATACTGTTAAACCAGCTTCAGAAAGGACTCCACCTCATACTGTTAAACCAGATTCAGAAAGGACTCCACCTCATACTGTTAAACCAGCTTCAGAAAGGACTCCACCTCATACTGTTAAACCAGATTCAGAAAGGACTCCACCTCATACTGTTAAACCAGCTTCAGAAAGGACTCCACCTCATTCTGTTAAACCAGCTTCAGAAAGGACTACACCTCATTCTGTTAAACCAGCTTCAGAAAGGACTCCACCTCATTCTGTTAAACCAGCTTTAGAAAGGACTCCACCTCATACTGTTAAACCAGCTTCAGAAAGGACTCCACCTCATACTGTTAAACCAGCTTCAGAAAGGACTCCACCTCATACTGTTAAACAGCTTCAGAAAGGACTCCACCTCATACTGTTAAACAGCTTCAGAAAGGACTCCACCTCATACTGTTAAACCAGCTTCAGAAAGGACTCCACCTCATTCTGTTAAACCAGCTTCAGAAAGGACTCCACCTCATTCTGTTAAACCAGCTTCAGAAAGGACTACACCTCATTCTGTTAAACCAGCTTCAGAAAGGACTCCACCTCATACTGTTAAACCAGCTTCAGAAAGGACTCCACCTCATTCTGTTAAACCAGCTTCAGAAAGGACTCCACCTCATTCTGTTAAACCAGCTTCAGAAAGGACTCCACCTCATTCTGTTAAACCAGCTTCAGAAAGGACTCCACCTCATTCTGTTAAACCAGCTTCAGAAAGGACTCCACCTCATACTGTTAAACCAGCTTCAGAAAGGACTCCACCTCATTCTGTTAAACCAGCTTCAGAAAGGACTCCTCCTCATACTGTTAAACCAGCTTCAGAAAGGACTCCACCTCATACTGTTAAACCAGCTTCAGAAAGGAGTCCACCTCATACTGTTAAACCAGCTTCAGAAAGGAGTCCACCTCATACTGTTAAACCAGCTTCAGAAAGGACTCCACCTCATACTGTTAAACCAGCTTCAGAAAGGACTCCACCTCATTCTGTTAAACCAGCTTCAGAAAGGACTCCACCTCATTCTGTTAAACCAGCTTCAGAAAGGACTCCACCTCATACTGTTAAACCAGCTTCAGAAAGGACTCCACCTCATTCTGTTAAACCAGCTTCAGAAAGGACTCCACCTCATACTGTTAAACCAGCTTCAGAAAGGACTCCACCTCATTCTGTTAAACCAGCTTCAGAAAGGACTCCACCTCATTCTGTTAAACCAGCTTCAGAAAGGACTCCACCTCATACTGTTAAACCAGCTTCAGAAAGGACTCCACCTCATTCTGTTAAACCAGCTTCAGAAAGGACTACACCTCATTCTGTTAAACCAGCTTCAGAAAGGACTCCACCTCATACTGTTAAACCAGCTTCAGAAAGGACTCCACCTCATTCTGTTAAACCAGCTTCAGAAAGGACTCCACCTCATACTGTTAAACCAGCTTCAGAAAGGACTCCACGTCACACTGTTAAACCAGCTTCAGAAAGGACTACACCTCATTCTGTTAAACCAGCTTCAGAAAGGACTCCACCTCATTCTGTTAAACAGCTTCAGAAAGGACTCCACCTCATTCTGTTAAACCAGCTTCAGAAAGGAGTCCACCTCATACTGTTAAACAGATTCAGAAAGGACTCCACCTCATTATGTTAAACCAGGTGGAAATAGTTTGTTCTGTTCAATAGCTCTGGTCTTTGGGGATGCAAACACACACACACACACACATACACACACACACACACACACGCACGCACGCACGCACACACACACGCACACACACACACACACACACACACACACACAGCAGTCATACTGTACGAAGTCTATAACCTCTCGTTGTATAATCCCTCCTCATTTAAATGTAAAACCAGCTAAAGGGATTACGTTTTACATTCTCCTCCAATGAAGAAGTGGCTGCTGCAAGGAATTACCAAGTAGGAACCTTTCCTATGAAACCTGCTCTGTTCCGACCGTTCACAGGCTTTATAGAACAAGACAGACAGGTGAATACATGTTGTCCGAATGTCATGTATTCTAGGGTAAATACTTACATTTGCCTTTGAGTAGCTAAGTCTGTGTACAGTAAGCTCAGTACTAAATCATGTCAGATAACTCCCCAAAATATGAATCCACCTACATTAATGGCAACGTCCCTCGTCCCTAGGATCTAAGACGTCACATGTAAACTACACACAATGCTGACATTAGAGTACCAACATATAATCTGGAGAAAGTAAGAAAGGAGGTGGGGGCCCCCATTGCCGGTTGGGGACTCACCCGTAGCGGAGCGGGTTTATGCTACCGGACTCCTTTGTTTAACGAGTAGACTCGAATTAAAGAGAGAGAGAGAGATGAGAGTATGCCGTCCTCGTCGATGTCCGCTGATTCCGCGATTTGCGGAACCCGAGGCGATAGGCTAGGCTGGGTATGTTGAAGAGGGATCGAGATTGTTCTGTTCTGAGCTAGGTGGATCGTCGTAGTCGCAAGCTAGAGGATTAGCGGTCGAGACCCGCTAGCATGATGCGTGTGGGAGGTCGTTTAGTCCCTACACTGCAGGATGAGAAGAGGGGGGGGTTTGTTGGAGTAGGGAAGAGAGAGGGGTGGGGAAAGAGAAGAGATGAGAATG